TTTTATATATTAGCTTTGGATTTTAATTTTAGTTAATTGGTTAATGAATACATATCCACAAGTATATTTTTAATTGTGATGTAATGCCTTATTTAGCTTGTGTAGGGATGGAAAATGTTTTATTGCAATCTAATATAATAAAAATATGACAAAAATTTACTTATCGTACTTGTATTAAACTCATTTTTTTTATATAGTAAATGCTGCATCTGTTCTTTCTCTTTTTTGTTTTCTTGGATGTATAAATTTCCCAAATGTTTTGCAATTCCGATGACCGTTTGGGCATTTGTACTGTTTCCACAAACTGTGTTTAGAAAAGAAAACAGTCGAATCCATTACATTTACTTGGGAAAGGTATGTATCCTCTTCATCTCCCTCCAGCTATGGGTAAAATAGCTGGACAGACTGGATTCTATAGCCTTGGATGGCAACTGGTCTAGGAGAAGGACAACTCTGAATTCAAAACTTGCGGAGGGTCGTTTGGGAACCTTGTGGCATGCATTCGGTGCACCAGGTTTCTGTATTCGTCCCTCCAAAAAGTGTGGCTGGTCCTGCACGAGGCCTTCACCACTATAATCAAATCTCATGTGCCGGTGTCGGGATGTCGGTTTCCTGGGGACTTATCGGCCTCACCCTCATACGTCGAACGCGACGGGAGAGTCGATTATATAAATAAACAAATGAAAACTACAGACAAAAGTTCATTTTCTCCAGCAAAAGACATTCATTTCTGTAGTTTAGTGCTACCAGCAAGCAGAAATATTTCTCCTCCCGATGATGGCCATTTCGGTCGAAACTAGTCGTGGAATCTAAATGGAATAATAATAATAATAAAAAAACGAAAGAATATTAATCTACAACCCAGTGTGTCTAAAGATTTTAATTTTTTTTATTTTCTAATTTTTTAAATTTTTTTATTTTCTTACTATATATATATATATATATATATATATATATATATATATATATATATATACTTACATACTCAGTAAAAAAGCCAATATAACCTGCTCGTATCATAACTCGAGTTTATCAATCTTCTAGTCATCTGAAAAAGTGTGTGAAAACTCTTGTGTGTGAGTGTATATATATATATATATATATATATATATATATATATATATATATATATATATATATATAAAATCTCAGTGGCATTATCTCCTTGCTGCTTGGGGTGAAATGATAAAAAATTATTTGGCAATATTTGGACTGTGTATGTGCCTGTGTGTTGTGATATTCAGCTATACACAAGTGCGTGTCGTAAGTTGAAGAATAATGTGTAGAGATGGGAATACAAGCAAATAAACTCATGACAATATAAAAAGCATGGAGAAGTTAGAAAAATGGAGACTAACACAGATTGAACGGCAAAAAATACCTGGCAAACGATAAAAAAAAATTAACATACTGATCTGGGGAAAAATAAAGGTCGGCATATGTTCTTTTCTACTGGGCCGTTTTATACGATTTACTGACAAACGAAATTAAATTATATCAAGGATTGGTTTCCTCTATCTCCCGAAGGATTGGAACACGTTGGAATCGTATTGAAACTGTAAGGTACTATGTCACTTTTTATAAAACACTTGACGTGTTGGTCAGTGTCCCGCTTTAACTATGTTTCCTAAACTGTCATTTTATTTTCATGGAGTTATTTCTGATTTCCACGCGCTAACGAATTTTATTCTTTCCTTTCTGGATTTGGAGTTTTATTGTTTCATTTCTTTTTTTTTTCTCACGCGTATTGATCGTCTTTTTCTTTTTCCTTTTCCGGTTTTCTGTTTCACCTTTGGTTTTTTATTATTATTATCATTTCTTTTTTCAACGATCGAGTTGATCGATTCTATTCTTTATTTTTTTTCTCTATTTCTTTCCTGAAGCTCAATAAACCTCGATATCGATTTCATTTTCGGTGACCAATGAGATCCGCGTTTTCAATGAATTGTTTTTACTATATGCCTTCTCTCCTATTTTCGCTTTCAGTTCTTCTTCCTTTTTCTTTGTCTTTACGTTCGTCTTATTTCCGCTGTGAAAATCAAAATGGATTACTCAGTTTAAACCCAAATTAAGGCTAATATTTTCCTTCTTAATATTGCATTATTGAAAGAATATAACTTATGTGAATAAATGTCTGTTCCACTGCCGGTCTTATTTATTTATTCACTACATTATATCTGATGCCACGAAATTATCTCCCTTATTAATATTGTCTTTTGTGAAGAACAGAATTTTGGTGAATTATCGTCTGTCCTATATACAGTCTTTATTTTTCACTATGTTATATTTGTCTTTCATGAAAACATTACGACGGCGATTTGTCTCATTTTAAATAAATTATAAGATGAAATCAGTGAGCCGATATAAAACTCCATCGTTTTCGTTTTTCAAAGACATGTTGCAGTGGGCCGAGAGGTGTGAGTGCCAATCGACCGTACAACTAAAAAGGTGGACACAAAGGCCAGGAGATGGCAATAGCAAAAGAGGATGACAAACGCAGATGGTCCGTTGTAGACGATGGAAATCGTGTCTTTATTTGCGAACGGTGGATGGTAAGACGACAGAGATCATTTGTTCGTTAATGGGCGCTGGAACATGTCGCTGGACGTCAGTGGGCACTGGAGTAGATCGTCAGGCGTCAGCGGGTGCTGGAATCGGTAGCGGGACGTAAGTAAAGCGCCGCAGGAAACTGCGGGAGTGAGCTGGAAACTGCGGAAAGCTGCAGGAGTGAGCTGGAAGCTGCAGGAGTGAGCTGGAGGCTGCAGGAGTGAGCTGGCGTCTCAGAGGGAAGGCAGTAGCAGAGAGTGAAGTGAGCTGCTACTGCTGTTGGGTCCCGTCAGCTGCTGGGCTAGGTCGACTTGACTGGGCGCGTCAAAGTCGCAATTCAGGAAGGCTCCCTGGCCGGCGGTATTTACTTGACTCCCACGACGTCAAGATGTGACACAAGGTCGTTTTTCGTGGGGTTACTTGACTCCCACGGGGTCAAGAAGTGACACAAGGTTGTTTTTCGTGGGAAACCCGAGCGTTTCCGCATAGGGTCACTGGTCAAAGATTGGTCATAACATGTCCAAGCTGGTCCAAACTTAGTCAAGTTTTAGTCCAAATTTTGGTCATAACATGTCTAAGCTGGTGAAGGCTTAGTCAAGTTCTGGTCCAAATTGGTCTTGGCTTGTCTTAGCAGGTCCTGAAAAGGTCCAAACTAGACTTCGCCATGGTCGCAACCCAGCCCGAGCTGCTCCCCTGGCCGGCGGTATTTACTTGACTCCCACAATGTCAAGATGTGACACAAGGTCGTTTTTCGTGGGATTACTTGACTCCACGGGGTGAAGATGTGACACAAGGTCGTTTTTCGTGGGAAACCCGAGCGTTTCCTCATAGGGTCAAAGATTGGTCATAACATGTCCAAGCTGGTCAAAGCTTAGTCAAGTTTTGGTCCAAGTTCATCTTGGCTTCTCTTAGTAGGTCCTGATAAGGTCCAAACTAGACCTAGCCATGGTCGCAACCCAGCTCGACGGCCGGGCTGCTTCCGTGGCCGGCTAAAAACAGCTGTGAAGTCTCGGGGATCTAGATATAACGGTTCATACAAGAGAAGCGGTGACGCTAAACAAGTAAATGAATATAATTAATTTCGGGCCGTATTAATTACAGTCAAAAGTATGTTCGGTGTTTGTTGACTGTATTTAAATTAATTTCGGTTCGAAATTAAAGGTCTTTTATTTTTGTTTAGTGGCGAAAATTGAGTTTTGTGTGTTTCTGTCAGTTCGAAAGGATGTCGTTGCTATTTTTAGCACACAAGGGTCGTGACCTTTCTCTACCGGCAGGCATATCCGGGGTTGTTTACGAAAAGGTGGGAGTGGTGATTGGGTACACTGCGACAGACACACTTGAGAGAGGCGTGGATCTTTCACATCTCGGCAATCCAAGTTTAAGATTTCAGGCGCAACTGGATTCTCTAAGAAGAGAAGACAGTGAATACAAAAAAAAAAAAAAAACGTGACGTGGGGAAAACAAAATGATATCTTTATATTACCAAAAATTCCATTGACATTTACAGAGAATAAGGAAAACGAATCTCTGTAAAATCAAGATCGCCTTGCTGTCGTAACATGTTCTTTAGAAAAAATGTCTTACAAATGTTATTTTTTCACTGAGAACTGACATAAATTTCCATATGTTAACATATTTTTCATATGTTTATAGTCTTATTTTCTTTTAGGCATTTTTTACACTTTTACTTGCTTCATGACAATAAAACAGCCTCTCTAGCGACGAGCAGTACAGGTTTCGAACTACCCCAAACACTGTTGATGTCTTAATTCCTATCATTACCATTTCTAGTCCCATCATGACAATTAAACTGAAACCGACATAATAATGGATTATCAGACATAATTTATAGAATGTAAATCCCATTGTCCCAAAGAAGAACTTAAGTACATTGAAATCACTTTCAAATGTCGACATAATTTGTACGAATCACGTAAATTTAATATTATTTACACACATCAAACCTGTCCTCCAGATACACACATACATACACACACACACATATATATATATATATATATATATATATATATATATATATATATATATATATATATTTGTTGGATTGATGTGAGTTTGTGACCCTGGATTTCATGCTTTTGCGATTGTCATACAAACCTGACCATCGCAAAAGCGTGAAACCCAGGTCCCCACTACACATCAATCCAACTGAATATGTTAGCTCTATCACTGATATTGAGCGCTTTCTAATAAGTACCGCGCATATAAATAATATATATAACAAATTGTATATATATATATATATATATATATATATATATATATATATATATATATATATATATATATATATATATATAACGTCAGATAGACAGACTGTTTCGCTGTTTCACAGCTCATCAGTGTTGCTAGACATCCGGTTGCCTCTGAATTGGTGTCAGTCGTAGATTCTACCACTAAGCTGTCGGCGCGCGGTAGGGATGAAGGTGAATTTTTAGCGTATTTATTTTTAGAAACACGCCCAGTGACCGACAGTGACTCAATTCGATTTTGCGAAGAGTCTCGCTATATAGCTATAATAGTCACTGTTAACAAACCCACCTCCTCCCTAGAGAGCTCAACTGATATATATATATATATATATATATATATATATATATATATATATATATATATACATTTCTTTTACACACACACAGACACACAGGCACACACACACACACACAAAATATATATATATATATATATATATATATATATATATATATATATAGCGATCGGGGGGAATCCTGTTAATATTGTATATAGTTAAATAATGAGAATAATAACTGATTTTTTTATATATATATATATATATATATATATATATATATCGGGGATATATTAGATATTGAATTCTTCCAAAAGAAATATATAAACCATCGTTTCGACTTACAGAAACATGAACATGGTTATATTTATGCACCACAAAGTATTATTGAATTAGCTTTTATATAGCAGAACCTTTTAAAACATATAATACAATAGGAAATCAATATTAAAATAGGCGATGGTTAAATATCTTAATAAATTTCACTTTTGTTCTAGCTATATCTTTATGACACATGTTTATTCTCTTACTCTGTTCACCTTTGGAAGTAACTTTCGACATACTTTTTTCTGTCAATCGTCATTTTCTCTTTCCTTGTAAGCTGTCCTTTATTTTTCCCGTCGTGCCTTTCACTCTCGGAAACCGCTGCATCATAATGGCCTTATTGTTTTGCTTAGGCTGAATTTATTAAAAACTAAAAATACTGGGGTAACTCACTTGATAATTTATCCTAGAGTAAAGCAGAGAAAATTGATATTTTGGATAGAATAGAATTTATATGGCAAGACTCAAGAGATATATTTCTAATTGTCATGATATTTTATCTGCATTTTGCCACATTATTAGGTCGAATCTGGTCATTCAGTATATGCTGTAAAAATCATAAATGACGCCTTATTCAGAGATAATTCCTTCGCTAAATGTTACGTATCAGTTACTTAAAAGAGCGAAAAAATAGATGCTGTATAAATATCTTAATTAACATTATTTAATGTCTATTTTATTATAATACATGAAAATTATAGTAAATTATAATTTAAATTGTATGTACGATGTATTTATTTGGTTGATTGATTTTTGCAATTCGTTTTGTACGTTTTACCCAACTTTTTGCAGTTTATTTAGCGACGGAAAGTTTTTTTTCATATTGTAAGATTTAATTGTGAAGGTAATAATGATTTAGATAAAAAAAGTCTAAAAAATTTTTTCATACATGGGGGAGAAATGGTGGATGCTTTTATTTCCCAATGTCGTTAGTATGTAACTGAATAACCCAATTTGAACAAGGCTCTTAAATCAACAAATTCTGAGCCATTATACGTTACCCCACCCGCACATCCAAGCTTATTGTACGTAGCAGTCATCTCTCTTACGACGGTTCAGTTTTGGTTTTGCTAAAATTCGGTGATCGTAAGGACATCAACGTTTAAAAGATATAGCCGTAAGCCTTCTGTTTTATTTTGGTTTAGGTGATCATTATATTTTCGCAGCATAATTTTCATTTATGTCAAATCATCATATATCAATTTTATTTTAAAAAATTTCTCATGTTCACCTCACATTGATTTGTTCACAGATAATTATTTTTAAATATCATCAGCATCATCATCATATCTGTTATGACATGAACGTACACAGTAAATCATTATGATTCCTCATCTACAGTGATTTTATAAATAGTTCTCATCACTATTCTCCAAAATTCACCACTTGTGGCTGACTTATGTCAGCACTGTAGGTTTTCCAAGCTTTTAGATGTTTGAGGAAGAACGGTGGAATTTTACTGATAGATTCTTTGTAATTTGACATAATATTCATTTTTCTCCTGTGAATTGTAAGTTTTATACCTTCAGCATATTCCTTCTATTTGTCTTCAGATGCAAAATTGATATTCTATCTGAAACATTCCAATGTCTATAGATGTTATTCATCAATTTGGTATTGATGACAAAACAATTCTCTAATATTTACCTTCTGTTTTCAAACATATTATGTTCTGCTGTCAAGCTCCCATATTAATAACATTTCTCTATTTGATTTTGCTTTCTTGGAGACAATATAGTACTATCAATGTTACCGTCCAATAATTCATACTTGTCTCATTTCACTGGTTACCAAACATTCAATGGTAACATATTTATATCAGATTAAAGTCACTTATGTAGTTGTAAATAAAAGTTGCCAGTTGTTAAAGTTTGTGTTAATATTTTATAAAAGATTTTCCAAATCAACCATAGCATTTCAAAGTAGAAATGTTGTCATGTCACCGATGTTCTTCATTAGGTTTTTCAATTGTTCTAATAATGCTTTTAAAAACTCTTAGGACGGCTTTAAAACAAACTCAATAATTCCTCAAGTTCCTCATATATATATATATATATATATATATATATATATATATATATATATATATATATATATATATATATATATATATATATATAATTGGTATCTTCCACACACGTAAATAAATTCATATATAAATATATATATATATATATATATATATATATATATATATATATATATATATGTGTGTGTGTGTGTGTGTGTGTGTGTGTGTGTGTGT